TGTTTTGATATATAAGTTGTTTCGGTTTTTCATCCAAAAAAAAAACGACATTAATTTCTCAACGACCTAATACTTACCAAGAAAACGCGTCCATAGGTCTTGCAATTAGTGCTTTGCGTCCGTCCGCACCCGCAAAGTGGGGGATCGTTTCACGACTTAATTTAACCAACACAATTAAGTTTAGAAAAAATAAATGCTAAGCAAATACAGACAAAATCATTTGAATTGTTGGTATCTGTTACATAAAATCGTCGACACGTTTCGTTTCAAACTGTATTTTAAATTCCCTTTCATACAAAGCAAAATAAACGCCTAATTTATTCTATTCCATTACAACCAACATATCAGACAAAACATGTACAGCAGCGTTAAGCTCTATTTAGTTCGTCATCTTCAATAGCCAGTTCCTCATTGATTATTTCCATAAGGTCCTATTGAAGAGAAATCGAAGCCATATTAAGATTAATACTGTGTGATATACTTTATTTTTTAACACAACATAACTTTTGTAACCATAAAGCAATTTCAAAATGCAAATAATAGTATCAATTAAAATATGTGTTGATGTTTGTTTGTTTTTCTGGCCCCCTAGTGGCACAGGAACAAGTCTGAAGGCATATAATGCTAAGAACCGGATTTCGATATTCGTGGTGGCTATAATACGGATAGCGTGTTGTTGTTTTTTTTTCATACTTTATTCTTGTATGTTCTTTCAAAAATACATCTATGTATACTTTATGAATTTCCCATGGTAACACGCTGCAATTGAATATCAGGAACTGTTGTTCATTAAAATATAATTACAATACCGGTACAGGTATAAAATAAATAACAAGTATTGAGTTAAAAATATGTATGATATTTTAGATAGCTTATCTAAACAAGCAGTGAATGTATGAAATTGGTGTCTACGTAAAAACGATATCCTGGATTCTAAAAAAAAAAAAAAATGACAAATGATTGTTTGTTTCTACACAATAGGATACCTGTGCTTTGCCTACTATGTATATCGAAACCCAGTTATAAACCTTCAGACTTACCGCTGTGCCACTGGGGGTTGAGGGGGGGGGGCAACAAATAGATGGCTGGTTGTTATCATGCGAGTGTATGTAAGGTTTTTTTGAAAAATACTAGCTTACATTTTTGGCTGATTTTGCTGTTTTGCTCAAAACAGTAAATTGGCTATCTGTGCCACAGGAACAGAACCTCGAAATATTTACTTACAAGCCCCCAGTATCGTTTTATCGCTGGACCAACAGAGGGCGTCATGGTAGAGCATAAGAAAGTAGTGTATATGATATATTTTTATATTCATCATAAACAAATTATAGGCAAAAACGAAATAAAAAAAAAACGAAAAATTTAGTTTTCAAGTACAATAAATAAAATAAAGAATAACCGTATTTTATTGTCAGAAAATTTAAAAAAATGACGTACCTCAAAATTGGCAGAATCTTCTAAAAAATCTATCCCACGAAAATAATTGTTATCAATCATTTCTGGTTCAGAAGATGCACTTGGCTGCATTATGTACAGCGACTCGGTATCAGGACCTAAAACATTGAAATCGAGTTGGTTTTCTAGTACGGGCCTGTTTTTTACTTGAGAAGGTTCCAGAATGCTGGGATTATTTAGATAATTTACAAAGTTTTCTTCCACCTCCGAGAAAAGATCTCTATAATCCAAAGTGTTGCATATTAGATCTAATTCTTCAAATTCCTTGCTTTGTGTGGTGTAGTTTTTTTCAGTAATGTCTTTTCCCAGTCCACAGTCTTGATTTGGAGACTGGTGGTCCATGACGATGGTTTGCACTTGTTCAAAATTTACCTCTTCTTTAGAAATCGTGTTTTTATTCTGTGAATCCTTCCCAGTGCCCGTTTTGTATTGTGACATGAACTCTTCGGAAACGTCAACATCAGGTTCTGAGGGCACGGTGTCCACAACGCTTTCTTGCATAATTATAATTAAAACACTATCTGATGAAATACATATTTCTTCATTTTGGTTGAGAACCGACGGAGAAGCTACTGAAACGTTCCTTTGTTCTGTAATAATTTTAGTAGTTAAGTTCTGGTCTAATGCAGTGGCATTGCTGATAGAAACCGAATTTAACAGCTCTTGATCTATAAAGAAAAGGTTTAAAGTACATATCTATAGAATAATGACAGCAAGAAAATACAAGTTACTTTATTTAAATATTTTGCATGAGATTATTATTAATATATTACAGAGTACGTACGATAAATAGTCTGGAATTATTAATAACCTGTCAGACTATTGGAAAAATTTAAGTTTGTTATAAAAAAAATCTGAAGAATTTAAGGTGTTGCAAACAAGAATATATATACTTCATTAGAAACTAAATATAAAATAAAGCTTGTATATAAATTTTTCAATAAAGATTTACCAATAATTCTGTAAAAACGACATTCATTTGTGTTGGTGTTTCCTTTTTTCTCTAGTTTCAGTTTTTTATCAGTTATCATCTTGTAAAGATTACTCCGAAATCGATCCTTTGCGCCAGTGAAATATTTTGGATTTTTTGGGTCATAATGGCCTTTTTGTCCCATTCCTGAAATATGCACAAGACTGATCCTAAAATGAATCCAGTAATATATGGTCATATATTATAAGAATTAATGCAAGTACTGACAAAAAACAGCAACATTAATCTCAGGCCAATTAAAATATAATACCCATAAGTACACATACATACATATAGACACACATGTATATATAGAGAGACACACATCATCTCCTTTATATATATTTAGTGATTTGCAAATAGTGTCCAGCGGTGTATCTGGTCGGTCTAACTCTAATCTAATCACACTGGAAGTTTGTTGTTAAGCCTACAACTGTACAATGAATTAACTACACTGTAGGAAGATCGACCCTAATTTTTGGAGGGTTAAAAACCCTAAAGCTTCCATTTAACCATTTGGGAACCTCATCAAAAGGCAATAATTTGTTCAAGAAATTTACAGTTATGTTGGAATTAACAACAGTAGCTAATATTTATTCAGAACCAAGATGTTTATCAGAAACAGAAATTTTAGTAATAACAGAATTACTCACGATGAAAATTTATTTGTTTTGAGAATTTCGCATTTAGCTACACAAAGGCCTATTTATGCATAAAAGTCCCTAATCTTGAACTGATAGAGTAGAGAGAAGACAGTCAACAGAACCAACCGCGAGATCCGGGGATTCTCTTATCTGAACGAATAGTGAGATTTGACAGTCACTCGTATAGCATAGTCATGACTACCTGGCAAGTTAAACGCTATGTCGCGCTCGTCTCTAGGAAACAATTCCAAGGATTACACACTGATTGAAATGGACCATGAGACGTGAAAAAGTTACACTGTGATCTGTAACAAAATAAATAGCACAACAATTTTCGGTTTAGCATGGCCTGGTGGTTAGGGCGCTCGACTCACAATCTGCGGGTCATGGGTTCGAATCTCCGTGCCACCAAACATGCTCGTCCTTTAAGCCGTGGGGGCGTTATAAAGTTACGGTCGATCCCATTATTGGTTAGTAAAAGAGTAGCCCAAGAGTTGGCTAGCTGCCTTTCCTTTAGTCTATCACTGCTAAATTAGAGACGACTAGCGCAGATAGCCCTTGTGTAGTGTTGCGCAAAATTCCATACAAACCAAGACCTCTAGTCTATCCAGGGCCAGTTTAAGTTTTAGTGGGGCACTAGGCCCATGTAATATTTAGGAATAATATTAGTAATAACTCACTTTCGCCTCTATTCTGCTGGTCTTACGAACTATAATTCCTATACTTGGGTGGCCGGCGAGATCCCAATACGGCCGGGGCCCTAGGTGGCCTACGCATTAATCCGGTATTGAGTCTGTCAGTGTTAAGTTATGGATGGCTGGCGGAGATAGACCTCGAATATCTTTGCGAAATTAAAACCAAACCAAAGTAGGCCCACGAATCCCTAGTGCATACTGTTTTTATGGTAAGGGGACGCGAATCAGGAACTCTCAAGAACAGCTTGGGTATGATAACCAATATGCCATGCTCGTCTACAGGAAGAAGCTCTAAGGATTACAGGCTGATTGAAATATGTCATAAAATGTAAAAAAGTTTTACTATGATCTGTAACAACTTAAACAGTACAAAGGTTTTTTGAAGAGCCTGTAACGTTGTATGAAAGATGGTAACTTCGTTTAGAGTTATTAAATACTAACGTTCAACAAGGTATAGTTTTGGTTTTGAATTTTGCGCAAAGCTACACGAGGGCTATCTGCACTAGCCGTCCCTAATTAGCAGTGAAAGACTAAAGGGAAGGCAGCTAGTCATCATCACCCACAGCCAACTCTTGGGCTACTCTTTTACCAATGAATAGTGAGATTGACCTTCACATTATAACGCCCTCACTGCTGAAAGGGTGAGCGTGTTTGGTGGGACGGGGATTCGAAGCTGCGACCCTCAGATTGCTAGTCAAGCGCCCTAACCACCTGGCCATGTTCAACAAGTCCAATAAAATCTCTTACAATTCTAAGAGCAATAAAACCTTTACGGAATTAAATTTAAGAAAGCAATAATTATCAAATAATAGTCGAAATATTTCAAAGAGAATTCATAATCTTAACAAGTGTTTCAATATATAGGGCTGGATACTTTGTGTAATGGAAAAGGTCATATAATGTACCGTTTAAACAAAACTAGTGTTTCCGGATGTTAAGCATAAACAGTGTTTAAAAACACATATATTTCTTTATGATCAAATAAACTCACAATGAACAACACGAAATCCTCTTCCTTGGACAATCTTGACTTCATGTTAATCCATTTAATTCCAAATATACCTTCGTTGCGGTTCTTCCAGAACAACAGATTTGGAAAATAAGCGAATTCCAAGTAAGACAGTAAAAAGTCTTGAAATAAAAGATCGTCTTTGGTCATCTAAATAAACAATGAAAGTTTCAGAAAGTGAATTAGCGTCATAAATGCGATAAGTTAAATTTCTCGTGAAATACAAACCGCTAAAATATCACTATCTCTTGTCTGAAGGACACCAATTTATAAATATAATTCCTGTTTGCTTTTTAACATTTTTGTATTTCCATAAAAATATTGAATGCAACATTTTTTTACGTGTTATTATCTAAAGTTTCATATACGATACTCCAATATTTTGGTATTGTTTCGTTCTTTGTTAGTCTTTCAAGACGCCCCCTAGTGGCAAAGCTACAAGA